AAGAAAATGTCAAAAATGCCAGAAAGCCAAAATAACTAAACACACGAAGACCCCTTTAACAATTACTGACACACCAATAAATGCTTTCGACAGAGTGATAGTGGACACTATTGGTCCACTACCAAAATCAGAAAATGGCAATGAGTATGCAGTCACTTTAATATGTGACTTAACTAAGTATTTAGTTGCCATACCTGTTCCGAATAAAAATGCTAATACTGTCGCTAAAGCAATATATGAATTTTTTATCCTGAAGTACGGTCCAATGAAGACGTTCATTACGGACATGGGAACAGAATATAAGAATTCAATTATAGACGATTTGTGCAAATATTTAAATATTGAAAATATTACATCCACAGCACACCACCACCAGACAGTTGGAACAATAGAAAGAAGTCATAGAACTTTCAATGAGTACATTCGATCTTACATATCGGTTGATAAAACTGATTGGGACGTATGGCTTCAATATTTTGTCTTTTGTTTCAACACGACCCCCTCTATGGCACATACTTATTGTCCATATGAGCTAGTATTCAGTAAAACAAGTAATTTACCAAAACATTTTAATAGCATAGATAGTGTAGAAGCACTATATAATATAGATGACTATGCTAAGGAGAGTAAGTATAGATTAGAAGTAGCCTATAAAAGAGCTAGAGTTATGTTAGAAGCAAATAAGAATAGAAATAAACTACTATACGATCATAAAGCAAATGATATAGATATATCAGTAGGTGACCAAGTTTTATTAAAAAACGAGACAGGTCATAAGTTAGATCCTAAATATACAGGTCCGTATATAGTAACGGAAATAGGAGATAGAGATAACATAGTAATAACAAATAATAAACAAAAGAAACAAACAGTTCATAAGGATAGATTAAAAATCTTTATTTCATAAATTGCACTTAGTATGGCCATACAAAGACACACATACATAGATAAATAAATACACGTATTCTCTTAATAATTTCATTTTCTTTGATTCTAATAACAAAATACAAAAAAATAATAAAACAAAAAAAAAAAGTGTATTAATTAAAAATTTTTTACTATAAAAATAACTTCATTATATTACGTTATTTTTCAAAAGGAGGGAGATGTAGTATGCACATACATTGAATACCCACTGTACCGAAAGTACTTAAAGGGTAAGCACTGTAACACTTTGTTGCAGTGTTTACATATTTTAAAGTCCCCTAAGTGGCCGAAATATGAACCGATCGCTATGGCTTAGCCCGCACACAGAAAGTGCTAGCGTCGGCATAATTGCAACGAACGGACAGCATATGCATACCCCTCGCGACTCCACTCGAGAGCGCATAGCAACATATATAAGTACACTCCTTTATACATAAGTATATAGGTACATAGCCGTCTCTCTGCCGCCGCCTGCGAGCAGCGCAGCTACGAGACAGCCTTAATTAGACTTAAAGAATATTGTAAAAATCAGAGACTCTTCGATCGTTGGAGCGGCACCATTGCTGCTCCAAATAAACCCTAAAATAAAACTAAATGAAAATAAAATACAAACTTGAAACAATCTTATTTACTTGAATTCTGGAGTCGTTCTCCTACTCGTAGTACCTTGGTATTGTCCAGAAACGGGTCTAATGACCGATAAGGATCTGATACTGCCACACAACCGTTCTTCTGCAACTGAGTTATAGTGGGCTGGAATGCTATTCCTTGTACCTGTCGCACTATTCGTTGTAATGCTTTTGCTCGTTGTTCCGGAGTTTTTGGTCCTGTTTCTCTCTGATTGCCTGATCGAAAATTTTTTCCAAAACGCAACATCCAGGCTGCTATTCCTACCAGCGTGTCAAATGACCCGTGGTGACTCATTTCAGTGGTCCAATCATCGATTTTGATTAGACTCAGGACGTGACTGGTTATAGTCCGTTGTTCAGGGTCCTTCGTGCTCAGCATATGCTTAGTCTGTTGTATCCAGGCTTATTGGTTCGTTGTCAGAAATGGTGGACCATTAAAACACAACTCCTTTTGTTTAAGCTGTGTTGCTGAGCATGACGAAAGGTCTGCTGGGTTGTCTTCTGATGCTAGATGCACCCAATGCTCCGGATTTGATAGTTCATGAACCCGAGCAACTCGGTTTGTCACGAACGTATGAAATAATGATGCTGTTGCGATTATCCATGCTAACACTATTGTAGAGTCCGTCCAATATTGGACTTCATCGATCACTATCCGTATATCCTTTTTGATTCTTTTTGCTAGCTCAGCTCCTAGCACCGCTGCACATAATTCTAGTCTAGGCAATGTTTATTTTGCTAAGGGTGCCACTCGTGATTTTGCGCATAGCAGCCTACTTACTATTGGACCCGCGGATGTGATCGTACGAAGATAAGCAGCCGTCCCATAAGCGACTTCTGACGCATCAGAAAATATATGCAGTTGAATGGCTGCTGGGTCTGCCTGTGATAGCGGATGCCTGGCGAGCTCAATGGTAGCCAATACCTGAATATCATTTCGAAACGCCTGCCAATGGGTTGTATCTTCCTTGTCTAATTCAGTATCCCAGCCTAACGATTTTTGCCATAGTTGCTGCATAAATATTTTTGCTGCTGTCGTTATGGGGCATAGTAACCCTACTGGATCAAATATTTTGGCTAATTCAGAGCACACAACTCGTTTTGTGACCGTCCCTTGTTCGTATGGCGTCGCGCGTCCTTGGAGTTTATCTTCCTTAGGATTCCACACTATCCCTAGTGCTTTTATTGTTGCATCCGAGAATTTGCTGAAATCGAGGTCCAAAGCCTGGTCGTCCCTTGGAATATCCTTAAGTAACTCGGGGTGATTTGCGCACTACTTCCCCAGCCTTAGTTTTGCCGACCCTAGAATTGCACAAATCTGATCTCGTTGCCGTATCGCCTCCTCCAGCGTGTCGGCTCCCTATAAGCAATCGTCGACACAGAAGTTTTGCTGAATGGCGTCCGCGCCTAGCTGCTGGTCTTTCGGCGCTCTCTGTGCCAGATGTTGTAAACATTTAGTTGCTAAGTAAGGCGCTCATGCAGTCCCGTAGGTCACCGTATTTAAATGGAAGTAACGCATTTTTTTTAGTGGATTTCGTCGCCATACTAAGAGTTGATAGCCCTTGTCTTGAGGATGAACCCAGATTGGTCGATACATTTTTTCTACGTCTGCTGTGAACACGAACCGGTGAGTCCGGAACCGTAACAAAATTGATAGTGAATCACTCTGAACTGTCGGCCCGACCCTTAGGATGTTGTTAAGGCTCTTTCCTGTTGAGCTAGGCTCCGAAGCGTCAAAGACCACTCATAATTTTGTGGTGGAGCTGTCTGGTTTTAGGACGCAAAGGTGGGGAATGAAGTAATGATTCCTTGGTACATTGGAAAGCTGTACCTCCGTCATGTGATTCAAACGTTCATACTCATCCATAAAACTCACGTATCCTTCTAGCATTGCTGGATCCCGTTCTAAACGACGTTCTAGGCTGAAAAATCTCCGTTGAGCCAAAGCTAATGTTTTTCCTAGTTCTCTTAAATTTTCTGCGAACGGCAATCTTACCATTAGTCGTTGATCCGGGCAGAATTGGACGTTTAATAGAAATTGTTCTTCACAAAGCCTCTCTTGGACTGTAGTGGATTCTCCCGTGTTATTGTCATGACATTTCCTGCCATGGCTGCTGGCACTTGTCGCCTCACTGCGCCGAACACAATCCACCCAAGAGCGGTTTCTTGTAGAGTTGGCTTATCATCCCCCAACTCGTTAAGTCCGGGTTTTATCAATCGAGAATACACCTCGGCTCCCAGAAGCAAATCTATGCTCCGAATACTAAGTCCTTCATCTATGGATTCCGACGGTTGGTTTTTCATCAGTTGTGGTAAGATAAACACAACAATCTCCTTCTGAAAGTTCGACCTTAACGATGACAGCAGCACACGTGCCCATGACGAAGATCCCTGCTCCGTTTGTCCAATTACTAAGATACCTTGTGATGAGTTGAAGGTGGGGAGAGCAAGTTGATCTGACATCCTTCTGGACATGAGATTTAGCTGAGAGCCAAGGTCGATGACTGCGCGACAATTTTCTCGCTTTGCAGCTTGTCTTTGTATTGCCACAATGGCTGTGGCGAGTAATACGTCCGTGTTTGGCTGTTGGCCGAGGGCCAACGCAGACACCTTGTTGATCATTGGGGTTGCAATGGTTGATCTCGGGTAGCAATGGCAACAACCGGCGCCGTGGATTCTGGATGTTTGTGCAACATGGAATGATGCCAGGTTTCCAGGTTTTTTAAAGTACTCATTGAATTCATGATCGTGTCATGTAAGGCCCTGAGTTGGAGTGAAGAACCATCAACGATTTTTGGTATGATGATTCCAATTCGTTGCATCTTCTCTGCAACTGTCGACTTACCGTGTCAATTGTAGAGCTTCCCTTTACTTGCTCTCCTGTTGTGATCTTGATGTTGGCTGAGGTTCGTCTGGGGGCCTTCGGTGGATCGCTTCCAGTCGGTATGTTGTCCAGGAAGACTTTTTGATATTTCTCGACCAGCTCCTTAAGTGCTATTAGTCGTGAGGAGTATTCACTTCCCGTGGGTAGTGCCGCTTGTTGAACCTCTTCATCCAGATCACAAAATTGTTGCCAGAGCTCCCTTAGTTGTTCTAATCTGCCGGCATAATAGCCTTCTCGGAGGCGTCGGTCGGCAGAATGCTTGCCATAATTCTTAACAAGCTGTTGTATTTTTCCTTGCAGCTCGTTTTGGTCGTCTAACAATCGATTGTGTAAATCGATTCTGGTTTGGTTTGTCTGCTCGATCAATGAAGTCGACATAGTGCAGGTGTTCAGTAAGTCTTAGCCGACTGCGGTTCTTAAGATAGGCTTGACAGGTGATTGTGTAAGAACGTCTTACCTGTGCAAACCGGCGTGTGTGTTGCCTATGTGGAAGGCGGATGCTGAAGTGTGATCCTTTGTTGGTAATGATCACGTCGGGGTCACCAATGTTCTTGCCTAAGTTAGCTAGACAAGATTCTGGTCACTCCGCGGGACGAGGAGGGGTATGGACGCTCGTCGCGGGCACGGGGACGCTGTTTATTACAGTCGGATCGCGTCGCGACACGGGTGACTATGGGTAGCACGGTGCCGGACCACAGGCGATATGGACTGAGTAAGGAAAGTTACCGAATGCTCGTGTAACCGGGGATCAACAGTGTATTGAAGTCACGCCGCGAGACAAGGAGGACACCTGTCGCTAGCACGTGGACACTAGAGAGCACAGGACGATCGCGTCGCGACACAGATTGCTAGAGTAGTATGGTGCCGGACCACAGGCGATCGATGAACTGTGCTAGGGTGAGTTGACAAGAGTCTTCAGGTGATAGAAGTAATAAGACTTGTGGGTGTTTAGATTTGTAACTGACTTTATTGAGCTGTTGATCAGAGCTTAAATACTATCATGACCCGGAACTTGGGTGCATATATTATCTGATATGTTACGCCTCATGTTGGGGTTTCACCTACATTTGTGTTGACCTAGCTTCGCTTCTGGTTAGTAGACTGCTCGTCTACGCTGCAATGTCAGTAGAGTGCTGCTTGTTGCTGCTGACCCACTGAGTCTTGACCGACTGTCCCATACTTGCAGCGTCGGCACTATATTGTACTGCTACTGTGCGTCTGGTCGTTGTTTCGTATAAGTTGCATTGATCGTATGTTCTGCTCGCTGACAACTTGCAACTCCGTCGTGTTGTGGGTTGCGTGCGTTTGACCTGTGTTTGTAACCATTCTAGATCGAGCCGAGTAACCTTGGTTACGAACAGATGCCTTTTAAGGAAGAGCAAACCTTAGGGGAATCTAAAGGCCAAGCCATAGCAATATTTTTAAATTTGGAAACAAAATTAATTAAAAATCAAAGCCTACAAGAACAGTACTGCAAGTTTATGACAGAATACATGACTTTAGGGCAAGTTATCTAACCTGTGAAACGGTTCCACTTATGGAATTTATAAACAAATTTTTGAATTCAATCTCAGCTATGTTACCCTTGCCTTCAGCGACATTGCCTTTGCCTTTGTTTAAGATTCTGCCTTTGCCTTTGCCATTCACTTCGAGGGCCGCGCTTGACCGTCCTGCTAAGATAAATAAACCAATCGTAAAGTAAACACAAGCTTCCGTTCGAAGCCCAAACTTTTCCGTTCAAAGCCCACAGTATTGCGTTCTAAGTTCAGAACATATTACGTTCCGATTTTCAATCAAATTGCATCGGTCAGCATAATTTCATTTCACAACGATATGCGACAGTTTCAGCATAAGCTTTTATTTTAAACAAAAATTAAAGTTCTGGAAGCTTAAGAAAAGGAAAGCTTCTGGCCGAGGTTCATTGGATAATTTTTTAGAATTAAGATTCAGTCCTATTTTATCCGAGACCGCGATCGGTTCACAATTTTTAAAAAGTGTCTTGTATTAATTCAGTTTAAGAACAAAGGTTTATCACCCAAGTTTTAAAAATTAAAAATACATTTTTTTAATTCATCTATTAACGACAAATTTAATTGGCGCCCAACGTGGGGCCGCGTTAATTAAAAAGTTCCAAAAAATTATTTAGTGAAAAATAAGTTAAATATAAACGGAGCTCGCGCAGCCAACAACTCAACATTTCTAGTGGAGAACTTAAAAAATCCACCAAACATCACAACAAAGTGACAGTGGTCGTTAACAATAATTAAATGGAAATTAATAAATGAATTAATCCATTTAAAGGTGAACTTTAAAAAAAAGGGTGGACCAAAATCTTAAATAAAAAAAATACAAGAACACAAAATAAAGCAAAACCTGAAACGCACTAAACAAAAACAGTTAAACAAACCAGCTCTTACAACAATAACAACAAAATCACAACTCGCTGAAACAGGAAAAATTAAAGAAGGAAGGAAGGGCATTCTATTGCCAATAATTTCTACCGAATCCAGGAAGGAAGATCAACCCACAACCTCACAGAAGGAAGACCCCATCGGGACAGTCTCGTGAGAAATTAATTTTCAATAAAAAAAATTATTAAAAAATTATAATCTAAGATCAGGGAATTTAAAAAAAAAAAAAATAATATAAGATTTAAACATTGATAGAAAGTAAGATAGATTCACGATTTAATAAAAAATATTAAACAATCTGGAAGATTTAATAAATAGCTTTGGTGAAATAAACTTAACCATGGCAACCGGAGGTTCAGCACCAAATTTTTCTGCAGGTAGTATAGCCACAGCAGGCGGCTTAACAGTGGAATTAATAAATAGATTGATAAATCTTCAATTAAATGAAGTGAGCAGGAAAATAGAAGCTTTAGAAGGAAAGTTAGCCACAGATGCAAACACTGTGGAGGATTATAAAATACAAACAATCGACCCAACTATAAAATGCGATACAACACTTGAAGTGGTAAAATCTTTACCAAAATTCACGGGGGAACCAACACAATATGTTGGTTGGAGGGAAGCCGCAGAAACTGTAATGAGTCTCTATAAAATTCAAAGTGAACAATATTTTATCGCCTTAACAATTTTACGAAATAAAATTTTGGGAGCTGCCCATGATGCTCTTACCAATCATGGCACCGTTTTAAACTTTAGAGCAATCTTATCTAGATTGGACTTTATATATAGCGATAAACGCCCAATACATATTCTCGAGTCAGAACTAAGTATCCTCAGGCAGGGACGAATGACAGTTACAGAATACTATAATGAAGTCAATAAAAAAATGACACTACTAATAAACAAAACCATAATGACATACGGAAAGGACAGCGTAATTGCCAAAGAAACAAACAAAACAATAAGGAGCAATGCTTTACGAATTTTTATATCTGGGCTAAATGGATCGATCTCAGAAACTCTTTTCTCATTAAATCCACCAGATTTACCCAATGCTTTGGCAAAGGTCCAAGAACTAGAATCAAACAATTTCCGTGCTCAATTTGCAAACAGGTTTAATGGATTTAAAAATGAAAATAAATATCAGGGAAACAACTTACGATTTGATCAAAAAAGACAGAACAATAATACTAATAAAACGGGAAATTATTGGAGTAATAACCAGAATTATAATTGGCCACAAAAGGGAAATTTTTGGCAAATCGATAATCATAATAATAATCAAAAGCAACAAGCCGTCGAGCCAATGGAAGTTGACCCATCGATTCAACTCCAGAATAAACCTAGTTATAATCGACAGCCGAATAATAATTGACAGGCAAATAATAATCGAGGTAGATACAATAATAATTATAATGAAAATAATAATCGATCAAATTACTATCGCGCTAATCAAAATAAAGAGCAAACTCAAGCTCAGAAAAGGGAACCAGAAGGAACAGTAAATGAGCCAGCTAATAAGGTAACCAGATTAAACAATATCAACGAACATCATTTTTTAGACCAGACCCCTGCAGGGGAATGCCTTATTTAAATAGGACAGACCGAAAAACCAAGAAGCAGTTAAAGATTTTAATAGATACAGGAGCCACTGCTTGTTATATAAAAAAGGGAATTTTCGAAAACAAAAATGAGTTATCAATATACAAAAAGGTAACTACAGTTCATGGGTATTCAATTATTAGGTATATTATAAATATATTTGAAACAAGACAATTATTTTATGAAATCGAAGGATTAGAATCTGATCTGCTAATTGGATTTAATTTATTAAGAAAAATTGGAGCTATAATAAATATAGAAAAGGGAGTCTTGGAATATAAAGGGAAAACAGAAAAATTAAAATATTATGACAATGAGGAAAAAAATGAAATAAGTTTAATTGAAGAAAAGAATATTCTTCCGTTAAAAGAATTTATTATAAAAAAATATTTTGATGAAAATAATAGCGAAAACACAGATTCATTATTTGTGGAAAATAGTGAAAAAAGCTTGGGAATTAAAAATCCTGAGAGTGCCGACGAAGTAAATACCGTCAATAAAAATACAAATATCTTGGGAATTCAAAATCCTGAGAGTGCCGACGAAGTAAATACCGTCAATAAAAATACAAATATCATGGGAATTCAAAATCCTGAGAGTGCCGACGAAGTAAATACCGTCAATAAAAATACAAATATCTTGGGAATTCAAAATCCTGAAAGTGCCGACGAAGTAATTACCGTCAAAAATCAAATAAATAAAAATCGTTTGAAATATAAAAATTTCAAGCCCGCCGTCGTTGAGTTATCCGACAAACAACAGATAAACAATATAGGTACTGATCAATTAGACGGACTAAAGGAAAAAATAGTTATCTATATTGAAAAAGAGCATTCAAAGATAAATATGCAAATTCCTTTTAGAACAGACATAAAGGGGGAAATAAATCTTATTCACGACAGGCCAATATACGGGAAACAATATCCGTACGCTTTTTCTGTCACCGACTTCGTGAACAGCGAAATCAGTAGAATGTTAGCAGAGGAAATTATAAGGCCCAGTCGAAGCCCTTATAATTCACCAGTTCTGGTAGTACCAAAGAAAGGAGAAAATCAAGACGGAAGCCGTAAATTAAGACTCGTCATTGACTATAAAAAATTAAATGAAAATACCATACCTGACAGGTACCCAATGCAAGACCCATCAGTAATTCTATCTAATTTGGGAAAAGCAAGATATTTTTCAACAATAGATTTAGAATCAGCTTTTCATCAGATATTAATGAAAGAATCTGATGTAGAAAAAACATCCTTTTCAATAAATAATGGAAAATACGAATTTTTAAGAATGCCATTCGGACTAACAAATGCACCAAGAATTTTTCAGAGAGCAATGGACGACATCCTAAGAGAACAAATAGGGAAAACATGTCATGTCTACATGGACGACATTATAATATTCTCAAACTCGATTGAACAACATTATAAAGACTTAAACAAAATTATAAATATATTATTAAAGGCAAACATGAAAATCTCTTTAGAAAAATAAAAGTTTTTTAAACGCGAAACCAGTTTTCTAGGATACATCGTATCTTATAACGTCATCAAGACAGACCCAGAAAAAATTGACACCATAATTAAATATCCGCTTTCAAAAAATATTCGGGAACTAAGAAGTTTCTTAGGCCTTACGGGCTATTATAGAAAATTTGTTTTAAATTACGCCTCTATAGCCAAACCTCTAACAAAATATCTTGGAGGTCATAATGGCAAAAATTTCAAAAAGAATGTCAACAAAAATGTTAATTCAGCTGGATGACCCAGCTATTAAAGCTTTTAACGAGCTGAAAGAGAATCTCATTGCTCAAGTAGAATTAGTTCAACCGGATTATAATAAAAAATTTACCCTGACCACCGACGCTTCGGACGTCGCAATT